CGAACAAGARTGGCGGTTCCTGCTGACTGGTGGGATTGCTTTGGAGTGCAAATTCCCAAATCCCGCTCCTGAATGGCTGACCGAYAAGTCCTGGGCTGAGTTAGTGCGATGCTCTGATCTTCCTGCGTTCAAGGGATTAATGGAACACTTTACTGAAAACGTAAGAAATTATTATCAGTGCAACGGAAATTGTATTAACCTGAATAGACGCCGGGGCCGTATTCTACGAGAACCGAAGTCCACAACTATTACAACTATATGTGTATTGTATGCGCGCGTCTCGAGACAGCGTTTTTGGAATTCGGTGTAAATTATAAACAAATATCCTTCAAAAATTGTGGGGTTTTTTCATCAGATGGCGGAATGGAAAGCYTTCTATGACTCAGCCAATCCCAACAGTGAACCGCTCCCCGAGCCTTGGGTGGACGATCTCAATAAACTGGAACACTTGATAATTCTGCGGTGTTTGAGACCTGACAAGGTAAGCGGAACAGGGTTAACGAGGATGTCCCTAGCCTCCTCAGCAGACTTTTCTGATGGGGAGTCTTCGGAGGGGGACTGTAACCGTTAATGTGATTTGTTGTATTCTTCAGGTGACGYTAGCTGTGACGGAATTCATCGTCTATCAAATGGAAGAACGATACATTGAGCCTCCTCCGCTTGACCTGGCCAAGTGTTACGAAGACTCTGATTGCTGTGTACCGCTCATTTTCGTTCTATCACCAGGCGCTGATCCYATGGCGAGTTTGATGAAATTTGCAGATGACCTGGGCGTGGGTCGAGGTCACGTGCAGACTGTGTCACTAGGCCAAGGTCAAGGTCCTGTGGCGGGAAAACTCATTAATAACGTAAGAATGCTTATAATCCCAAAAGGCTCTTGCTAGCTAAGTAGTGACCAGACAGCCACCGGACTATGCTCCGGGACAAATTTGCATGTTTTGATACCATATTTCACTGGAAAAAATCGCGCACCATAAAGGTTGGAAATTTGATGTAAATATGATGTAAGTGTCCAAAATTCTGTAAATTTGATGTAAATAATTTCCATTAAATTTACAGAATTTTGRACACTTACATCATATTTACATTAAATTTACAACCTTTAAAGCGCACGATTTTTTCCAGTATTTGGTAGTTAATCGCGATTGAAAATAACAATTGCTGATGCCAATCCAAATTAAAATTGTTAATTTTCTCGCTTGTTTTTCTTACTGTGCAAGTCCAACATGTTGCTGATTCTATCGGAGAGCTGTTTATGAGTAATATTCCTTTTTTCTGTGTTTTTTAAAAGTTTTGGAAGCGTTAAGATATTCATTTCTGTATTGCGTTTTTATTTGTTCTGTGATAATTCCTTTAATATCTTTTGAAGGCTTTAATCGATGGTGACTGGGTAGTACTTCAAAACTGTCATCTKGCTACATCTTGGCTTCCTCTCCTAGAAAAGATCTGCGAAGAGGTACACCACGTTATTAATATCAATAAATTGAAACAGTTGAAACGGGAAAAGAATGAAGACTATGCTTGGTACAGATGATATGATCTGAAAAAAATGCGTGTAAATGATGATGACGCTAGTATTATAGTGATTCTTTTAAATTGCGCCTTAGGCCTTATCCTTTTTTCTCTCTTTTTTTTCTTGATTTTTTCCCCGTCATTGTGACGATTGCTTTAGGTTGGTGCTGTTGTCTGTTGTTTTGTTTGCTATTTGTTAGTTATGTTGTTTGGTTTGAAGTGTTGTCGATTATACTCGACATGTCTCTAGATTGACACCTTGTATTTATGTCTCTCCGTAGGTCATCATTCCAGAACGCACTCACAAGAACTTTCGCTTATGGTTGACRAGTTATCCTACAGATCGCTTTCCTGTTTCTATCTTGCAGAACGGTAATAATAGCAACGATTTATCAAGTCATCATTGGAAATTAATTCCATTCTTCGTTTTAAATATGCGTCACAGCGGTCATCTTGTAGGAACTCCAACAAAGTTCTTCTCATTAGTATCTATTTTTCATTCATCCAACATGGCTGCCGCTCTTTCATCTTTTGAATCTCATGGCAGATAATGTTTGAAAAGCTCAATTGGGTTGCACAAGTGTCATTACGCAACTCGGCGCATTCGTTCTTTCATTCATTCCAAACCTCCAAAGAGGTTAAAAATCTGAATAACGAAATAAATTCGCAGAACATTCTGGTATATTTACGCCATAATGCATATCTGCTATTCTCAAGTTGTCAATGAATCTAACTGCTATATTGACTATCTCCAGGKATCAAGATGACGAACGAGCCACCAAAGGGAATGCGTGCAAATCTTCTTCGCTCATACTGCAGCGACCCGATATCAGACCCAAACTTTTTTAACGGATGTAAAAAGCCCAAGGTAAGACATGTCTTGCAAAGGCGTTAAGTTRTCTTCCATAGTACAGTTTATTATAGTCAGTCGGGTGTTTTTCAGGTGTGGAAGAAGCTCTTGTTTGGTTTGTGTTTCTTCCATGCATCGGTCCAAGAACGACGTAAGTTTGGTCCTCTTGGGTGGAACATACCTTACGAGTTTAATGAATCCGATTTGAGAATAAGCGTCAAACAACAGCAGGTGGGTATCAACTTTTGTWATTTTTGTAGCAGGAACAAATATGGTTTAATTGACCAAGTATTTTTGAAATGACTAAACATAGTTAGCATTGCCAAATATGGTTGTCATGGACAAATATGGTTGGTATGACCGAATATGGTTGRTATAGCCAAATATGGTTGACATGACCAAATATGGAGGACAATTGTGGTTAGCATTGCTAAATATGGTCGACACAATCAAATATAGTAGTTGAAATGATCGAATATGATAGACAGTACGAACTTTGATTCGACAAAAATCGCGAGTTTTCATTTCAYTGTGCATTTATTTTGGTTTTACAGATGTTTATCAATGATTACGATAAAGTGCCTCTAGACGCCCTGACCTACCTGACTGGAGAGTGCAACTACGGTGGACGAGTGACAGACGACAGRGATAGGTAAGGCTTTCTCCGTACGCTGAATGTATATACCTATTCATGGTAGATCGCATGAGTGAGGACAAAATAGTCAAAAAATGTCAAGAAAATTTGTTCTTTATGGTATTTTGGATACTAAAACAATTACATCACTTGGTCGCGCGATCTAAGAGTTGATAGTCCATTCGATTTCGTGATCTAATTGTTAATTAGCCCTACTTTTTATTAGTCAATCCTCTTTAGTGATTATTTCTGTCTTCTATACGCTTGCTTGTTGCTTTTTAGGCGACTAATTCTCAGTCTTCTATCGATATTTTACTGTCCTGAAATCATCAATGATGAAAACTACAAGTTCTCGTCAAGCGGGTCGTACTACGCGCCTCCTGAGGTAAGCATTGTCACGTGACCTGTTAGTTTTCATCAGTGTTGCATCACGTGGTATTGTTTGGTTTGACAGGGYACATATGACAGTTACCTTGACTACATCCGTGGATTACCGCTGACACCACATCCTGAGGTATGCAATTTTTACCAAACCTTCGTATTTTTTTATTCTCTTCTCTTCTCAGCTATTCTCTTTGATTTTCTTCAATTTATTCATTTTCCTTCGTTTTCTTTCTCTGTTGTCGTGTCCTCGTCTCTTCCCTCGATTCTCTTTTCATCCCTTCTTTCCACTTATATCGTTTTTTYCCCTATTATATCAAGACATGTTGTATGTTGATTTGTAGGTCTTTGGTCTTCATGAAAATGCAGACATTACAAAGAATCAACGTGAAACACAACAGCTGTTTGAAGGAATTCTTCTTACTCTTCCAAGACAGGTAGGCATACAGACGCCTTTATAATAAATACGTATTCCAGTATATTCATTGTAGGATTTCAAGCGCTAAACGGGCTTCAAAAAGTGCTATAGCAAACAAATAGTGTTAAATAGCGCGATATGGTTGTAGATTAGATAATAGAAAACAAAAGGAATTCGCGCAATTCAGTACAATTTAGAATTTTATAATTACTAAACGTTGTCGTGGTTTTAGTGATTGCTCTCTGTCACTATGGTAATTATATTATTATTATGTTGATGGTATTGATGTTTGACTTGTTTTCAGACATCCAGTGGTGGTAAATCATCTCAGGAAGTAATCGAAGATCTTGCGGCAGACATCTTGTCGAAAATTCCCACAGATTTTGACATAGAGCAAGTTCAGGTAAAAATTGCTGCCATTTTTATTAAGAGAGTTTCATGATTGGCACAAGTTTAGGGAAGAATAGCTGTTTCTTCTCTTGCTTGAATCGTTCATTCTCTCTAGGYTCGCAAGCGTAATCGTAAGAAAATTATTAATTATTCCATCTTATGTCATACACTTGATTTTTTTCCTTTGTGTTTTTTTAGACTTTACTTTGGCAAYTATGATAATGTCGATGTCTTATGTCATACGCTTTTCTTTATTCCTTTGTATTTTCCCTTGATGTCTTCTAAAAATGCTTATGCTTGCGCTGTAACAATTGTGCTTATGTCTATGCCTTATAACTACTTTATTCCTTTTAGTTTCCCTATATTTTCTTCTCCTTAATCTTATASTGTACCTGTTTGTTTTATTGTAGAAAAAGTATCCTGTTCGCTACGAGGAATCGATGAATACAGTACTACTACAAGAGATTATCAGGTTAATAGAAATATCTAATGACTCAAAACACWTACCKGAAAAAAACGGCGAAACGATCTCGAAATTAGGCGAACAAAAGAGGCATAAAAAAMSRAAAAAAAATAGTCAATGAAACATTAAAAATATGAGATAAAGTAACCATTAGCGAAAACCTATTCATTAATATTTATTCCTTTTTATTCGTTAGTTATATTCTTGTTTATTTTCTTTAATTTCTCATTCTTTTCAACAGATTCAATCGACTGACTCAAGTAGTTCGTTCCAGCTTATTAGACATTCAGAAAGCTATTAAGGTAATTTAGTCTAGTCGACGTTCCTAAATTAGATGGTTTTATTTATCAATGTTTTCGTTTGTTATAGGGCCTGGTGGTCATGTCAGCAGAGTTAGAAGATGTCTTCGGTAGTATGTTAGTTGGAAAGGTAGGTTGACTAGCTAGAACATTACTTCTCCCYTCATTTGAGAGGCCTTACACGGCTGTTGCCATTATCTCGTCTCTTCAATTTCATTCAGTCAATTTTCTTTTTATTCTCRTTTCTCTTTCTGTTTCAACGTCATATTGTATATTGTTTCCCATACTTTTTTCTCTTTTAAATCCATTTTTGTGAAATTGGTTTGCCTTTTCAATCTCTCCCTTTCCTTCTCATTTTTTCAATGTTTCAATGTTCATTCTCCCTAAAACTTTCATACTCATTTGTTTTTGTATACTGTATTGATCGATTAAACCATTCCCGTGAGATTCAAAAGATAAAAGACCGGCGGCCATGTTGGAGGAAGGAACAATGAATACTAATGAGAAATCAGTTGTTCAAGTTTCTTCAAGATGGCCGCTGTGACGTAACTTGAAAATGAATAATTATTGTTTTCTTGATATTACTCTCTCTCTATTCTTTGGGTCTCTTCTTAGTGAAATTTTAATTGTTGCCATTCTGCTAGTTGTGATATTTTGATAATGCATAGTATCTAATACACTTTTATACCCAGGTCCCTAGCATGTGGGCAGCCAAGTCATATCCATCACTCAAACCGCTTGGTAGCTACATCACGGATCTCGTCGCAAGACTTGACTTTTTCACGGTTAGTTTGTTTTTTATTGTTATTGTTGTTTTTTCGTTGTTGTACACTAATCAAAAAYGTCCTCTTCCTTGCAGCAATGGATCGACTCTGGACCACCAGACGTCTTCTGGATCTCGGGATTCTACTTCACTCAGTCGTTCTTAACAGGTTTGTGGGATCACAGTTGTAATAGGACATGGCGTTACTTTACTGCAACTACCAGAAAGCCTTGCTTATTTTCTTTGTTATTCAGTACAGTCAACTCTCGCCTTACGGACACACCGCTACAACGGACACATCGATAGAGCGGATATCGTATGATTGTGCAAAAAACACGGTACCTTCGCGCTGTGACCGTACCGTGCCGTAGCGGTGATTTATTGTTAAATCTTTATTTTTATTTGGAATCCTAGAAGGCGAGGTTCCGTGACCGTGCCGTGCCGTCTCCGTGTTGTGATCCGTGCCGTTGCACAGTCATACGAAATCCGCTCTATTGGGGACGTATAAAATACTGAATCCCCGGCGAGAAATACAAAGCGACGACTGAAAGTAACTGTCGTTACTACGAACTCTCGCTACTGCGGACACTAAATTACGGTCCCGAGGGTGTCCGAAATAGCGAGAGTTGACTGTAATCTCTTTTGAGATTAGTAAAACAAGTGCGACTTATTACTTTACAAAAGAAAGTGGGCAAAGCATTCTGGTAGTATACGACGGCATCATGCAAATCGCCTATAGCAGTGTTAATTTTGATTCATCTTTTCTTCTTCAAACGTTGTCTGATATAAATATCCAAGCTTTCTTTTGTTGTGCTCTCCACTACCTCTCCTATATCTATATCTATTCCTATGTATAATACAGAATGATCAGCCATGTACTCGATTTTATAAAAAGGCACGGCTAACCTTAAGAATGGCGCCAGGAATTCTATAGTTAACAATTATTTTTCAAGTATTTTTATACGATCGTTTCAGGTGCAACACAGAATTTTGCTCGTAAATATAAAATCCCCATCGATCACTTGAGTTACGACTTTGAAGTGATGGACGACAAGCAGCAGCTCGACTCGAAACCAGTAAGTGTTGACTCGCAACTCGTACTCTACTCGGTATTTAATATGTCAATCTTCAATCCTTTTAGGAAGATGGTGTTTACGTGAAGGGTCTTTATATGGAAGGTGCTCGTTGGGACAGGGACATAAATGTAAGTATATTCTTTTGGTTCATTCCTAGATATCCCATTTAAGTTGTTCAGTCGTAAAAATATAAAGACAACAGTTAGAGTGCTTGCACTTAAAGCGTGAAACAAATAGTACTAATTACTACTAAATAGTGTTGATTATACAATAGGAAACAAAGGAATTTGTATAATTTATCACTTATTTTGTAGTATTTATATTTCACGCATTTAGTGCGAGCACTCTACAGTTTGAATAAAGTTATTTGTAATGTCCACGTGAAGTTTTCCAATGTAAAACTCCAAATAAATAGCATGCAAAATGTTATTGACATAACGTTTTGCAACTTTAAGTTGAATATTCTTGAAAATGTGGTGTGGTGTGGTGTGGTGTGGTGTGGTGTGGTGGGTGTGGTGTGGTGTGGTGTGGTGTTTCTTCTTTGATATTCGTATCACTGTTATCGTGAAAAGACATAGAAGGACTTTCTTTTAAATAGTAAGGAATATGAACAGTATAACTGGTTAAATATTGTCTTTGCAGGTTATTGGTGAATCATTACCCAAGATTCTTTACGATCCTGTTCCAATCGTATCCTTATATTCAAATGACAATGAATGACATGAWTCTATGGCMAGCTTATCTCATTTTTGATCACGAAAGACTTTTACGACCAGCCATTGCTCGTGAAAACTTTTTTTTGCATACAGTTGACTCTMTTTGAACGACCACTCTCGTAAGCGACCATATCCCGTATGCGACCACCTTTTAAATTTCCCGTTATAATTGTTTTCCATATAAACTCTGTAAAAAAAACTCTCTCGTAAGCAACCATCTCTCGTAAGCGACCACTATTTCCGGATCCCGAAGTGGTCGCTTACGAGAGAGTACGTTGAATGTATTTATGTTACTATTTTACAGCAAAGCGGGCCTATACTGTACTAGTACTGCATCGAGTTGCGTTGGCTGTGTTTGAATAGGATGTAAATTTTGAATGACTAGTACRTGGGATATCAGGCCCCTTTTTGTAAATATACTGAAAGTACTTTATTCAAACACAGCCAACGCAACTCGATGGAGTACTAGTGCAGTATWTTTCKTAAAAGAAAAATTGAATGAGAGTTTTGCCATTTCTTCGAAAGACCGGGAGATTTTACGTTGAAATCTCGAGACTGGGATTCTCCGGGAGAGTTAACAGCCCTGTGATGTTGATGATATCATGATAGATAATCGTGGCTTGTATTGCTTCACTTGTTATTTTGGTATGAATTCCTTGACTACCTTGATTTAGATATGGATTAAGCCATGTGAACTGGACAATCTTAAAGAACAAAAGTGCTATTCGTGTCCAGGTAAGATCTTTTCTGTGGTAGATGGTACGTGTATTGGCTGATGAATTCTCTGTATGGCAATATCATTGCAAAATTTAAGAAAATGCAGTTGTAATAAAACGGCGTTTAGGTATCGAAGGTATCCGTTTCTCCACCCAAAATTGTGGATATATACTGTTCGTGTGAAGGCCATTAAAATTACCGTGAAATAAAATTTGACTAAGTGTGACAGTCAAATGACCACAAAAGAAAACAATGCAGTTTTAAAACTATGATATATTGATGTAATATCTATTTCACGTTTTTTTTTTACTTCACTCTATAAACGCAGAAATACTACAATAATATGCTCTTGGACCCTTCTATAAAACCCTTATGTACATGTAGGATGTTGATAAAGTACGAACTCTCTTTTGTAGTGTACAAGACGAGCGCTCGMCGTGGTATATTGTCCACAACTGGTCATTCAACCAACTACGTTCTGAGTATCAACCTGCCAACCAGCGTACCAGAGAAAATCTGGATCACACGAGGGGTGGCGATGCTTTGTCAATTAGATGATTAAAACATGATCTAATAATTTATTCAATGAGGATTTTATCGTTTTCGTATTTATCAATAATATATTGAAACATATATAATGTATCTATCGGATACTGATGGAAGTAATTTCTTCCACGGTTTCCTGCGCCATCTTGAAAGTTAGCCATGCCTTTGCATCGAGGTGAATTGACCGTTGATGACCGTTGAGCGTGCAATGATACAAACCTTCTTTCATAGCCACAGACAACTGCACTATTTCATTATGCCGTCACATCAAAACATTGTATTGTTTAACGCTAAGGATTATGGTCGTCAGAGGTGGTCAGAATGACTGCATATCAAATAGAATGTACATGAGCAATCATTAATACATGACATTTATCAAAACACAATATATTGAAGTTCTTCTCTCGGAGAAGAATACAAATGGGTCTGAATTTCCACTGTTTTTGAGCAACTTTCTCCGATGTAAACATATGACGTCATAACGAAATAGGGCAATTATATTAAGTATCTATCATTAAAAGCTAACCGGTTATTATCTCGCTTCGATGCAAAGGCATGGCTACTTTTCAAATTATTGTCTATTTACGTGAATTATGTGGAATTCAGGTGTTCCTTCATCATGTTCAAGTACGCTTTTCTGCAAGCATTTTTACTCGSTGCACTCCAATCACTGCTCCGGTTAGTCTCAGGCCGAGATACGGGACATTTTTGAATTCGCAATGATTTTGTTACGGGTTGCGTTCACATGTACCCGGACCTTTTCGAAAACTTCTCAAGAGTAGCGATCCGCATATGAATACGTGTGTATGGCGAAACTGAACACAAAAATTCAAAAAAAAGTCTAGGTTACATAACAGAAAGGAGAATAAAAAGTCCTCAGTTTTTTTCCCTTTTTAGCATTTATTTTACCAGTATACAATTTTCAATATATTCAAAAAGAAAGAAAAAGAAAAAAGAAAGTGATCAAATAGAAAAATTATAGATGATTTATGATAATATAATAGACGAAATGATCAGAATAGTATTTGTTAATTTAAATGAACTAGTGTAAATATATAGATAGTATTTTTGTAATTTTATGAATAAATATTTCAATCCATTAATGGTTGGTTCATATGTTTTGGGTCTGTTATTCAAGGGTCTAACACTATGCAAGACGATTTAGGTGAAACTCGATCTAGCGGTGATTTTGCCCGCGGTTCATCGCCGGCAAATCCCGGGAAATGACCCCCTCCCACTTTGGCTGAATAAATGAAAAAAACAAAATAAAAAAAATTGTTCTCAAAATCCGTCAAAATGGTGCATTTCTCAGGATGTCAATTTCACAGTTCTCCCCGGAGCTGTATAGGAGAACCCTCTGAATTCCGACCACCGGCGGTCAATGMATAATCTCGTCTTGGAGACGAAAATGGTGGCTGAACGCCTCCAAGTTGATTGTTGAAGTGTTAGGACCCGTTTCCAGAGGGTTTCCGTCCGGGGGTTTCAATCGTACGATGCGAAACGGCGAGTTCGTAATTACTGTTGATTTTGTTGAGTCTCTTACTTCATACAAGAAACCACAGAAACATCAGTAGTATTTTTAGCGTTATAATTGGCAAATTATTTATTTAACTATTTTAAATTTTAATTTACAAATTTTTACATTATTAGAAAACTAAGTCGATTGCTTATGCCTATTTTAGGAGAATAACTTTGATAGAAAAATAATAAATAAAGATATTTTAGACTAGCGAGTAATCATTTTAACTTTACAATCTTAAATTTGTTTGTTCATATCCATTGTTGAAAAATAARTTCAATAATTACCTCTTTCTGTAATGATTGCTATGTAAGAGTGTTTCGTTGCAAGCACAGGGAAAAAGTACCAACCAAATACACATATTTCTCATCCCGTTCAAAGCGAGAGACCGCTGTTTTAGTTGACAACAGTCTCTCGTGCACAGAGAAAAGCAAAATAAAAAACGAAAAAATGTTGTCATTAGGATCATTAGTTTCTTAATTAAATGAAAGTAAAAAAAACCGTGAAATGGATATTACACAAATACACCTTGGTGTAATATCTATTTCACGGGTTTTTGGAAAATAGGAAAAGCTAAACTGTAATGTAAGGATCAATGAATTCTTAAATAATATGTATGTTACCCAGAGATGGGACAATCKWGAGTTTGCAGATTCTTGAAGTACCGCGATTTGAACAAAAAAATTATTTTAGAGATATATCACTTTTGTATGAAGTAATCCACCTTCTGCTCGGGTAAATGATACGCTATCGTTGTTATTGTAATACTAAGAGGGCTAGCTATACGGCTTTTTGTTACTGTTATGACTAGTGACACACATTACTGCTAAAATATACTGCATTATCGACTTGTCCATCCATGTGATTTCACTAACGCCAAACAATCCACCACTTTCGTAGTACCCAAGGTGACCGCCATGCTGGGTTACAACAAACATTGCTTCTGGATTTTCCTCTAAAAAGTAATCAATACAACATATATTTTTAGATATTATGAATATGGTTGGAATGGAGTTAATGAGAAAAGTTGGAAACAAAATGGATACGGGCGCGGAAACTCGCCTGGCAGTGATTAAAATTCCAAAATACTGATTCAAAAGGTCCCACCATATTTGGTCCAACACGGACTAACTCCAAAATTCATTTTTTTATTGGAAGTTACAAAAGACAAAAAGAGCCACGTAGTTGCTGGATGGGTGTTGCGGTAACGGGAACAAACCAATAGTCGATGGGAAACCCATTTTTCTGGCATAACTTTTCAATTAATAAAATTGTCCAAATGCAACTTACCAACATGTCTYAGGGGAGCCTCAAACAACTGCTCTGGAACTATGGGATCATCGCGAGCATTTATCAATAACAATGGCATCTTGAYCTAAATCAAGTGAAAGAAATTTCTAAGTATGCAGGAACCACAGAAAAAACGTGTCATCTTTCCTAATATTTTCTTGAAAATCTTCATCTTAAAAGCATAAAGCTGTTAAATCGGCTAACGCGTTGCCATGTACCCAGTTCAAATCCTATGTGAAAAAGAACTTTTGTTTCTAAGAGTTCAACTGCGAAATGAACTTACTCCTGTGTGATTTGAATTGACCGGAAACGTTTATTGCAACGCGTTAGCCGATTAGGCTTATTGCTCAGTTTTATATCAAATACCTTGGGAAGATAGTTACAGCTACTATTCTCTTCATAAAATGTTAATAAATCGTCGAAACGAGCCATTCTCCTACAGGGAGAAAAAAACGATAGACATCTTTACATTAATTTTGCATTTTACCCAGGCAAARCCATCAAAGTCTTTTCTTCAGCAATAGGCAATGATATTAACAGGACTGCAATAGCTAGTGTTTGATGCAAAGGAAGTTACATTCAGTAATTTCTTTGAAGGTGGGATTTGAAGCATTTCAAATGTCCATAGTATTAGTATCTACAGCGAGAGTTGACTTTATAATTATCATTTAGAAATCCCCACCTGTTGAAAGCCTCATCAAGCTCTTTCAAAGATGTCGCACTTAGCATCTTAGACTTGCAAGCAGACATTTCAGGATCTTTGAACAGCATGTGTTCATTCCGTAATATCAAGTGTTTCATGTTCTGAGTCATCATGTAGCTATAKAACCTCCTTGCACCTTCCCAGTCTTCAAAATACTGGCAAGCACTGAATAAAACATTAAAATAGTACTTTGAAAAGATGTTTTCTGGTGGAAGGTGGTATTGATAGTACTATATTCTCTCTGATACAGACTATCCTTAAATACAAAGGTGGTATTTATGTGGTTTGAATTGGCCGGAAACGCGTTAGCTGATTAGCTCTATTGCTCAGTTTTATATCATGTATACCTTGGGAAGATAGTTACAGCTACTATTCTCTTCATAAAATGTTAATAAAWTGGTAAAGTGGTATTTATGTGTTGGGTTGCGTAGCTGAAGAGAAGCAATTTTTTGCGAAGATGCATATTTTAATGATCCCCAGGTGTTGTTCCCCGATGGAAAAATTGTATATTATTAGATTGAATTAGTTAACATCACCTTGGGACAAGTTAACCACTKACCTGATAATGTCATACCCTTGGCAAACTGACACTGCACAAGTGAAGTCCTTTTGTCTGCTTGGTTCTTCCCCAAGATATTTAAGAAGGACATTCGCTCCCATTGAAAACCCAACACCRATTAGATGATAACAATTATATCTTGCTATAACCTGTTTTACCAGCATGACCAGTTCATTTGTACTACCTGTGAAGATACATGTATTTAAGTTCATTTATACAAAACTAAATCGTAATTTTTATAACATGGAAAAAATTTCCAATTTAGGCATATTCAAGATCAAGATAACTGACCAAATGAAAAACAAGCAGAAGACTGGGAATGAGAACCTTTAAACAGTCCATGTTTTTATAACTCTGTTTTCACAATAAGAAATCTGAGTATATTTAAACTAGTGAATTGGTGTATTTTTAGTTTCAAATGGTAAAATATCGTCAGAGCTCCCAGGACTTAAAACATACCAATAACGTGAAAACAAGACGGTAAGGCTTCAATACTGACTTTCACTCAAGCCTTTGCAATTTCAAACACCTGTAATTTCTGGTCCTTAAATGTAAGAGCATTGGAACATTGTTTGATCATTCAGATCACACGTTCATTATAATAATATGTTCTTTCAACGGTTAGTTAACGTACATTTAACAACTGTCTTATAAACTCAGGTGTTACGCTAGCCACGCCCATTTTCATATGGTCTATTGTTTGTCTTCTACTATAGTAATATTAAAAGTTATCAAATTCATTAATAATTCATAAGGTAAACACAATGAAAAATCATGACTGCATCTTTATATGAGCAAGAGATTTGTCCTGATTTGCATACGACTTTAACTTTAACTTTAACTTTAACAATTTTCTCTTACAAATGATATTTTATCTTGAAGTTTTTTTTTCAAAATATGCTTTACCTTATGTTGGAATTTGATAAGCAAATATAAAATATTCGCGTCTGACCTTTATGGGCTATAAAACTGCTCGCTTGCAGCTCACAGTTTTAAATGCCCATAAAGGTCTCCCGATCATATTTTATAATATTACATAAAAATTTAAAAAAGTTAAAAATCAAGTTAAAAGATTAGTTATGTATTACTTTGACATTGCTTACCATATGTGAAAATTCTAGGGGATGTCAGCTCAATATTCTCTCTTGCCCCAAGATGGTCCAAGACAGCAACTCGAAAATTATGTTTTAAAGCAAGTCCAGCAAAGGTGCGCACATACTTGGTATCGCTACAGTTTGCAATCCCAGGTACCACAATAATTGTATTTAATTTCTAAAAGAAATCATCATAATTTATACAGTTAACACTGTATAAGTTGATTTTTCTTTTTTAAACCATTGATTAAAAAATATACAAACAAAAAACAATGAACTTTTGACAATGCATGTACTATATACAAGAACAGAATTAAGTCCAAATAGTTGCTGAATTATGTGAATTCCTTTACACTGTTATTATACTACCATTGATTATATAATTAACCTGCATGCAGCCAAAGCCAAAACTATAGTTTGGGCCCAAACTGTAGTGTTAGTCCACCAGAGCACAGCCTACCATATAATCAATGGTAGTAATAAAAGTGTAATTAATTTTTTTGGCAGTGCCATCAATGATTACACAATGCCTGTTTGATATGAAATGGGCTGAGTGCATGGGCAGATCCACAAGAGGGTAATTGAATGACTATACCCCCCCCCCCCCCCCCCTTTCTAAGATACTATATCTCATATGCCACAAGTATTTTTTGTTTGTATTGTTTCATCTAAGAACATCACACAAACACCAAACTAGCAATGAAAAAAAAAATGAAATATTATTACTGGGGTTTTAATAGACGAAACCAAAAACTTCCCACCCCTGCGTCCTTTTGAAAATCCTGTACCAGCCCCTGTGCTAGTTTGAATTTATGTTGGTTTCTTTCGTTTTATGGTCTCCATGACAGAGAAACAACCCTGGTCAAACTTCAGTGTTAGCTAAGACAGGGATTCTTCTTTTGTTCTATTATTATTATAACAAATCTGTTGGTCTCACCTCTTCTGGCTTGGTGTCATCAGGCTCATAAACATCAAACGTCATTGTAGCACCATCTTCCATCCTAACCTCATGATGTCTACCCTGTAACTTTGGAGGATTCACACGACCAACTTGACTTGCAAATAAAGTTTGTACATGACCACTTCTTCCCCATACTGGAGGAACATAACTAAACAATACAGTGAAAAATTAATAATTAATGCAATATTAATTCAATGTATATAGTGATACTCAAGCCTTTGTTATTGATGTGCCAACCAGAAGACAATTTGCTTTAAGAACAAAGCGACTTAAGCCATTCTGATCATGGTCGACACATTAGCATAAGAATGACTTTACTTTGTTGACTTAACGTTTGTTGATAAACACTGAGTATCGCTACATGAAAACTGCAGCCAGCATTCATGTTTATGGAAGTTTTTTGTCTCTGGCTTAGATCTTTCTGATACTTTATGTGTTTTTTTTCTCCATAAATTTAAACACTGATGTTTTATTCCTCACTATTGTGTTGTCATTGTTGGCTTGTTATTATCTAAGGTATAACAAGTTATATGCAACATAAGCCACAGCCCCAAATTATCCTAGTATAAATTTGAGATACTGGAACTAATCACATGATCTAGAATCTTTAGAAACTTTTAAGAGAATTGTGACACTGGCTGCTGCATTAGTAGTCTCCTCGCAGCCATTCTTAGTGGCCCGCCACTAAGAACGGCTGCGAGGACACTACTGCATTAGTAGTAATTTAGTGTTTGTAAGTTATTAATGCACAGACACTGATTACATGTACACCACAAGTTTTTGTTCTACTAAGGAATAAATTACATACTTGTCATACCCCCTGAATGACATGCCAAATTTTAAAAAACAACGATATTTTCCACATTTGGCCGTAGTGTACCATGTGTACTCAAATGAGCAAGCCAAACATTTAAGTCCAATATTTTGACATGAAAACCAGAGTGGTTGAGACTGCATAAGTCATAAAGTCTTTAAACCACCCATTTGAGAGATCCCACTCCACTGATATGCCACAAACTTATTCAGTTGGTCTTGACAACTTAAGGGTTTCTTTGTCAAAACATTGGTATCAAATCTTTTGGCTCTATTTCTCTTTAAGTAATAATAAGCGAAGTTAGACAGCTTTGGATAAGCATAATGATTAATTTATCTGTTGAGTAAGATTTGCTTCCATCTAAAATGCATATATTCAATTCTAGCTGTATTTAAGAGATTAAATCATGAAAATGATAAAAATTACTGGAACAAAGTCACGGAATGAAAAATGATGAATTTTACATGTTGACAAAAGACGAGGACAGCTGCTCTCACAATCAATAATAGAAAATTCTAGTTAGACATATGGTTGAAAATAATTTAGCTTTAACTTAAGCTTAAATAAAGTCAAATAATTTGCCTGATATCTAGGCAGTAATTACGATTAATGCCTAAAAAGGATGTCAGTAACTTATTGAACAAAACAGAATTATTTCACAAAATTTAATCTTAAGTACACAGAAAATAAATGTACATCACGGTGATAAATTATTCAAGTAAATAACTCAGTGAACAACAATTAAAAGCGTTGATCAAAAACAAGCTCGTCTACACAGTAAGACGCTATAATCCATTAAACAGAACATTAATAATATGTGGCAAAATTTCTATATAAGCTTACTTTGCTATTAAGCCAGTTCAAAGTCCAAGTTCGAATTATCATCACTTTCTAAACTTCCCATTACTGCAGTAAGTTATAAGCTTATATCGAATGCAACATTCTCGTACCTTGAATAAACATGCGAAATGATAGGTGTAAAGTTTACCTTTGTGGTCGACCAATGTTTCATTGAGTACAAGTTTTTTTTTAGTTATTTTTGATGGGATATTACAGTAAGACGGTAAAATTTGGAATCCAAAGCAAGCTTACACTTGTGAACAAATTTACAAAACACAGCACTTTTTAGAATCTACAATTACACAACATTAACATTTCCAAAATACTGTACTAATCTACCTTGGATTACGATAAAGACAAAACCACATTAAGTTAGAATCACTCACAGAAACGTTTACGCCCGGGTTTACCTTCTCTGCCGATCTAAAAGTCAAATTCTAACTTCTTAATAAGAATTTACCTTTCGCGTAGAAATGAACACGAAGACTTCACAGCTTTGACAAACTCGCTATTTGAGTCAAACGTCTTAGGCATTAGGACTTTATCGGTGAGATTAAAAACCCGAACAACAAAACATAGCACAATCACYAACAATGCTATAATAGCTGGAAGACTGATCATTGAGATTGAATAATCAAGGAACACATCTAGACTACTTGTTGACATTGACACTGGATGGCCTTATTGGGAAACCAGCCATATGGAACGAAATCAGGGAGGGWCGTCTGTMCCGTCTCGAGCGTTCCCAGCAGGGTTTTGACGTAAAAAATGACTCATGAATAAATATAGACTTCTATAACACCTTGCTTTTCATCGATATTTTCTAGTGAATTATAATATTTAACGTTTCTGTTATCATCGTTTTTTTCCTGGTTTCTTTGACTCCACCTCAACAGAAGTAGATAAAATGACTCCCCCTGACTAGTGTCCAGTTTTCTTTTGTATTCTCACTGAGTTGTTCATTTGCTGATTTCGCCTCAGGCAGCCTAGCCCTGTAATTCTGTCATTTTCTGAATCGTATTGTTATCAGCGTTTGCAAAATGTTTTAAAAATCGAGAAAAGTAATCAAGAGACTTTGAAGAAGTCTAAAAARACATGTGCGCTCATTTGCTTGATTAGAGTATGTGTGTGGATTTCCTGTGGTACTTTGATATTGTGACAATAATTATCTAATTTTCATTGCTAATCTAGTTTGAATAAAAAACACAACTTGATTGAGCTCCTTGATTTCTACTTTACATGTAGAACATCACAGAATATTTGACTGTCAAATATTTGACTTACAAGTAGAGTGCTCACCCCTCACCAGCCCTTTTCCATTGCATGGGTGAATCCAGGGAGGGGATAAGGGAGGCTACAATGCTAACCACCTCCTTTAGAAATAGACATTATGAAATAGATGAATAAAAGAAGAATTTAAAACTGAATGGTACTAACTCTAAAAACAACGTGTAAAATGGCTTATCTGATAGAAATTTCATTTTCTGCATCCCTAAATATATTCATTAATATTTCTCTTCTAGAGCTCACCTCCCCCCTTTATAAAATTCTGGATCCATCACGGCATTGTTCAAAGGGCTAATAGTATCTTAACTTCTTACTCAAAAAGGCATTCATTAATCCAGCTCAGCATATTAATTTTGAATGCAATTACACTTTTGTTGCAGCCGTCCTAACCTGTGTTACATCCGATTCAAATAAAACCAGATGTAACGCAAGCTACAGCTGTTCATTTTGAAMATGTTTGCAGGCTCCATAGTCCAATGTAGAATTATACCAAAGTACACCACTAAAAGAAMAAAATCTTTTTTAAGTTTTACCTTATTTACAAGAGTTTATCAATCTTATACTACAGTAATGCCATTTTCACCAATATCACGTACTTATTTACATTTTTTTTCAACACTCCATAAACTCTCCTTCAATCCTTTTAGGGATTCCTAACCAGAAAGAATAGGCGATATACATTATGGCATCATTTACTACAACTACCAGTCAGATTGCTTTGCAACTTTCTTTTGTAATGCAATTAGTGCCAATTGTTTTACTGATCTCCAAGGGGATTAAAAATCTGAATAACAATGAAAATGCGCAAGGCTTTCTGGTAGTTGTAGTAAAGTTACGTCATAATGCAAACGGCCTATTGTCAGCAAGACAACAAAAAAGGTTTGAAGGAGTAGCTGTAAATTAGCTTGTTAGTTCAGAGATTAACATATAACTTAAGAAAATCAAATCTGCCTATAAGCATTTTGTACATTTGAAGTCTACTGGGCTAATGCATCAGTTCATTGATTTTAAGAAACATTTACATACTTATCAACCTGCAAATAGCAAAGACAATGCTCAAGGGAGGTTAAATTTTTTTACTATAGATTACCCAATAATTCACTATAAAAAACTTTCAGCCATCAGAAAAAACTCAATGTCCGTATTGGGCTGGTATGATTACAGATACTTCAAGCCCAAGGTTCAAAGTCCATTGATAAAGTTAATAAGTCCATTGGTTGAACAGTCGTGTGATGTAACTGGTTCTTGAGAACCTAACTCTGGCTGGATGACTTTTGCCAATTGCTTGCCAAGTTCAACTCCCCATTGGTCATAAGAATTGATGTCCCAAATTACACCTTGGGTGAATATCTTGTGTTCGTACATGGCTATCAAAAACCCTAAMGTGAATGGAGTCATCTTCTTAAAAAGRATAGAGTTGGTTGGTCTGTTGCCTTTAAACACCTTATGAGGAGCCAGATGGTTGAGCTCCTCCCCTGTGACACCAGCACTRATCAGTTCTTTYTTAGCTTCATCCAACGTCTTTCCYTTCATCAAGGCCTCTGTTTGCGCWAGGAAATTTGCCAGTAAAATCTGATGATGTAAACCTTTTGGTTTGCCAACTGGGTTGTGTGTCTCMACTGGTGCYAAGAAATCCCCRGGTATCAGTTTAGTGCCTTGATGAATCAGCTGATAGAATGCATGCTGCCCATTTGTGCCRGGTTCTCCCCACACAATTGGTCCTGTTGAATAGTCGACCTCTTCACCAGATCGAGWSACAAATTTACCRTTGGACTCCATRTCACCCTGTTGGAAATAGGCTGCAAAACGGTGCATGTATTGGTCATAGGGAAAGAGGCCATGGCTTTGAGCTCCAAAGAAATTATTGTACCAGATACCAAGAACGGCTAAGATTACTGGAACGTTTTGATTCAGRGSGGAGTTGTAAAAGTGATTGTCCATGGCATGTGCCCCTGACAACAATGCTTCAAAGTTATCCATACCAATATAAATGGCAATGGACATTCCAATGGCSGACCATAAGGAATAGCGTCCACCAACCCAATCCCAAAATGCAAACATGTTYCTCTTGTCRATTCCAAATGCTGTCACTTTTTCTTCATTTGTTGACAAAGCMACAAAATGTTTGGCAACAGCTTTGATATCTTTCAGTGCATCTAAAAGCCATRCTTTGGCAGTTGTAGCATTTGTAATTGTTTCAATAGTGGTAAAAGTCTTTGAAGCAATGATAAATAAGGTTGTCTCAGGGTTCAGTTTTACAAGTGTCTTGGCCAAATGAGTTCCATCAATGTTGGAAACAAAATGGACTTGAAGATCTTTCTGTCCAAAAGGCTGAAGTGCTTCTGTAACCATCAGTGGCCCCAGGTCTGATCCGCCGATGCCAATGTTGACTACATCAGTGATGGGCTTACCAGTATGACCTTTCCAAACTTTATTTCTCACGCTCTCAGTAAATTCTCTCATGTGTTGYAGTACTSCATTGACGTCTCYCATCACATCCTTGCCATCGACTAAAATCGGTTGGTTGGACCGATTACGCAAAGCAACATGAAGAACGGCTCTGTTCTCGGTAAAGTTGATCTTCTCCCCTGAAAACATCTTTTTCCTCATCTCTTCAACACCTCTTGCTTTTGCCAGTTTGAGAAGAAGTTCCATGGTTTCTTCAGTGATGATATTCTTTGAATAGTCCACAAGAACCTTGCCATCTGGAGTGTCTAGTTTGATGCTGAATTTGTCAAAACGATTTTTRTCGCTTTCAAATAGCTCCCTCATCTGAAGAGAGGACCCCTTACTGTGGTARTGGCTTTGCAAAGCTAGCCATTCGTCACAACGGCCAAGAGAAGTCAGAGAATTCATGTCTGAGCAACGTAAGTTCGTTCGATCAACTTGACACACCCGGGATACCACATCGAACACAGGCATCCCAGCCTCATGAAAATACTGAAGGCTTGCTCCCAGTACTTCTCTGCTCGAAATCGAGTTCAGCAGATGATCCCACAGGTAGCCCAAGCTAGGCATTTGTGTACTTTTTAGAAATATTTAAAGTATAACAAAAATAAACATCTCCGGCTGTGTATTGAGTTTTTCTTTACATTTCTGTGAAGTTTCAGGCCATTTCCTTCAATTTTGGGTGATTTATGTCTGTTGTTCTCCAGCGTCTTCATATTTCTAAAATTGTGAAAAGAACACATTCAAAAGCCTAGCTTGGGCTACCTGTGATGATCCTCGTACTAGTCTACATGTATTTTGCTGAGACATAATAGCGATTTCACTTTAACGCAGAGTAACCATTTATTATTGTCTCACATTGTTTGAAATAAGAGGTGAGCACCGCTTCGACTTGTTCTAAGAAACCTTTTGCTCAGTTTGAATGTCCTCTCTTACAAGATGGCTACTGACTGGGTAGAATACAAGTGTAAGTCAGGACAGACTTTGTTTATTTACAACAAGGTGACAGGAGAACACAAATGGCCTACTGATGTAAGTTATCTGAATAAGATGAACATTTCTACGTACTCCAATCCAAACGTACTGTATGGTCTTTACATGTTAATCGACACAAGTTTCCCTTCCGGGGGCCTGACTCGATCCCTTATAAACGTTGGGGTCCTCGACGGACGGATTGAAAAATGACCCTAAAAGGTACGCATAAATTAATTCAGGTATCAATTCCAGACCCTAAAAGGTACAACAATTTTGAAGAACTCAAGTTTTAAAAAAAGGTGCTTAAAAAGCGCTTGTGGTTACTCCAAAAACTGTTGTCATGAATATTTTTAGATGTTTGTAGTGTGTGCAAGAAAGACTATTTCAATAATTTAAGTAAAGACCCATTAGAAAAGTGATGGGGGGGTAGGGGCAAAAGCAAAAGCAAAAACAATATTTCAAATGAAAATTTTGGAAAAAAGTCTTCCTTGGCATTTTGAAGAAAAAAAAAATCTTGCCATGGAAAGGATTGTATGGTATGTATATCCAATAATCTATTAAAAAAATATATCCCCCCCCCCCTCCTCGCGCAGCTTGTTTCCTAACCGCGAAAAGGGTAATTCAAAAGTAAATCTAGCAAAGAATCAGGTAAACAAAGAGTGCGCTTGCGGGTTTTTTTATGTTTTCGTTTTTTTCCCATTTATTCCTCAATAGATTTATGAATCAATAAAATACAATAAAGTACAGAAAATAATTGCATAAATAAAGCATGCAAGAGGTGGGCTGCCAATATGGACTATTTTGATCCCGGGGGCACTCCCTAATAAAAAAGGGAGGGGTCCTCGTCGACTCTCTTAGGGTTTGAAAGCAGTGTTTTGATACCGCTTAGGGTCATAATGAYGAGAGTTTCGCGGTCCCTTTTGGCGGTATACGACGACCCTAAGCCGTCATTATAAGATCAACWACAACCAAGACTGCTAATTAGATTGATCTCAATACGAGCAAACGGCGTTTGRTACTTGTGCAAATAAACAAATATATTTTGKGAAATCAAAACAAAATGACCTGTTTTTGACTGGTTCCTCTTTTGGGTGAAATATCAGCACTGCCACGCCCATCATCTCACAAAAAAGCTTTGTTGTGTTATTTTACGAATCAGTGCACTCTTGAGCAAAAGTTTATGGTAACTCGCAAATACTATTTGATATCATTGAAATATTGGGAGTTAATGAGAGAACCTGACTTTTCTAGTATAAACAAAGAGTAATAACTTCAGAGTTATCTTACTGTGCTACTCATGCATTAGAATCCACTAGTACACATTTTCATTTCAGATTTCTTAAAACTTTGTTCGTTGTTATTAAAATAGTAACAAACGAAACTATTCCTTTACCCGACACATTGTTAGGTTTGGTTTTTAATAAACCACAAAATATTTTTTGTATCATTTAATATTGCAATATTTCACTCAAATGGAAACTCCACAAACAATAATTTGGAACACACGTAATGATGTACAAGCAACGCGAACGATTAAAATAAGTGAATAACAAGTTCAGATAGTTATATTAGTGTACTGTTTATGCATTAAAATGAGCTACTGCGCACTTTCATTTCTACTTTCTTTAAACTTTGACTACCGTACCAAACAATTCCTTTATACGACACCTTGTTTCCAAGATACTTTCCATTCAGATTAGAATAATGACAATGTTTATACCACCAGGCACCGGTATATGCTGAAGCACAGTTACGACCACTGTCCTTGTCGTTATCTCCATCTTTTGTACTAAACGCCATGTTGTTATGACCTGATAACGAGTCCCCAGCAGTACCAGCTGAATAAGAGCCAACCCTCAACCTGTACTTGTCTGATTCATCACCAACACTAAAATTATCATATTTGGCATACTTCCTAGTTCCGTCCCAGTCCTCTACCTCAACGCGCAGATTCGACGCTGTTCTTGCTGTCAGTCGATGGATGTAATCGTTTCCCAACCAAAACTCGCCATTAAGGTTTCCAAAACCTGTTTTGTATTGTTGCCAATTGCGATAAAAATCAACTGATCCATCTTGTCTTCGCTGGAACACAGTCCAACCCCCACCGTCAGTTATCATGTCACAGTAGACTTGAAATGCAGGCTGCTTGTCGGGTTGAATTGTGTACACACCGTTACGTCTCTCTCCTGATTTGTAAAGCTCAGCGCAATCTTTTGGGTAAGCCACTGTTAACACTGTCCTTGTTTCTGTATCAAACACTTTAGCACTCGTAGCGGTGCACACAAACACACCTGAATCTGTTTTCTTGACTTTCCTTATAATCAAAGAGCCATCTCTCACTTCATATCTACCAACTGGAAGAACTTCGTTGTCTTTTCTCCAACTGATGACAGGCTGAGGGTCACCTTTGGCGACACAGTTCAACACTACAGTTGTCTCTGGACTTGAACTGTGTGACGATGGAGGTTTGAGAACAAACACAGGCAGATCAACCACTATAACCATAATAGATCCTACAACAGAACCAAGAAGATTTTCAGCTTTACAAATATATATCCCTGAATCATCTTTTTTCGCTTTTAGTATAGTCAGCTGCCCATCTCTAACAACGGAACGATTAACAGGCAAAGAACCGATAGACTTAGACCACGTSACTTTTGGTTCAGGAATTCCAGTCACGTAACAAGTGGGTAGACGAATGTCATGACCAATCGTTTCGTAGGTTGTTCTTTTGTTCAAGGTCAGTAGGGGAGGGAAGTTCAMTTGGAGTTTCGCTGTTGTTTGTGTGCTGCCAAGAAGATTAGAAGCCTTACACTGATAGATTCCTGAGTCATTGGGAGTCACGTGTTTGATATCAAGTTTGCCAGTGCTATCAATTACTGCTCGTTTGTGTGGTAATGTACC